GGATAAAGCTGACATGGTTTTAATTTACGGAAATGAATATATAAAAAATCGAAATTTATTTGGTGGGTGTGGGATGCTATAAAAGTTGCTGCAATATGGTCAGCAACTACGCACATGTATATGTATGGAAGACTTTATTTTTGAAAATGAGGTGTGACTGTACTAAATCACTTTATGAAGTCAGATCCACATGGCCTATTTGTTTAAGGTCAAGTGGTAAAACGGAAGTGTATTGGCCAAGGGGATGAACCGTGGGAACAGGCGTTAGTTTACATACAAAGAATTTGTGGTTTCCAAGAAGAGTTGGCTGTTTACAAAATGCAACATTCTCTTTAGATCCTTTGAACCAAATGTGTACACAATCTTGCAAGATTTCTTGATCTGTGGATTCTCATGTAGAGTCATAATCAAATTAAAATAACTTAAAAAAGGAATCTAAGGCGAATTAAATAATATTTATGATTGAATTTGATATTTTAAATGGAATTAATATAATTTTTAGGTTTTAGTCTTTCAAATTCTAAACCCATGATTTTTAGTCCATGAAATTTAGCTCGTCTTAAAAAATTAGTCACCAGATGTGTAACAGTGTTAAAATCTACAAAAGTATCATAAACAGCATTACAGTGTGATGTGAACTCACCAGATCACATCTAGCTAGATATTGTGTGGATAACTGAAAAAAAAAAAAAACATGTTCTCAAAGTGCAGCTCTTTAGCCCCATATTTTTTGTCTTATTATTCGTTTCAAGAGCTGTTCACTGCGCTGCACATTGTTGTCCACATAAAATCTAGTTAGGTGCTATCTAATGAGTCAACATCACTTTTAATGCTATTGATGAAACTTTAGCAGATTTTAACAGTCACATTTGGAAATTAATATTTTAAAATAGACTTAATTTTAGGGACTAAAACTGAGTTTAAAATTTAAGAGATTAAAACTAAAACGAGTTCAAATTTCATGGATCAAAAATTATATTAACACTTTTAAATCTTTATATATTTAATTATTGTCCACATTTTAATATAAATTAATCAGCCATGCACTACTATCAAAATAAGACCATATTTAACAGTTAATCTTTTCTATATTTTTTATGGTTGTTAATTAACCATCAAGTACTCCACCCAAAAGAAAAAAAACCATCAACGATAAATGTGTTATTTGTGCTTTGAGATAATTTTTAACCGTCAAATAAAGATATATTTACTTGACGGTTTTATTAAAACAAGCCTAAAGTAAAGTAGCATAACTATGGAAAAATAAATGGCTTTAGACGATGAGTGGTTTTGAAACTGATAGAGCACGATTCTATACAATCTTATTTAGCAAATGATACATGTAACGTTGGAATGCTTTTCGAATCTGCTGTTCTTTCGTATAATAGATACAAGCTATACATTCCAAAAGAACAGAAAACAAACCTACCAATACAGCCTACACCATAACATCAAAGAATAACAAGACAAAACCAGACTAAATATTCTAGTTAATTACTACTTCCGGTCCTATTTATAAAAGCTAGTTGACTAATTTGAGGAGATTAAGGAAAGAAGTTGAATTAGTTATTTGTAATAAATAGGTATTGTTTTTCCTAAAATGTCTTTACTAATCAAGTGTACCGGTTAGAACTATTATTGTTAAAAGAAATATCTTGGAAAAAAAATAAATAAATATGAGAGACAAAATGGATTGGGATCTTATATTTAGGACTAAAATAAAAGTCAAACAAGATTTTATATTAAGGACCGGAGGTAGTATTAATTAAGCGAAATCAGAACACCGTGTTCCCAATTCTACTTCCATCAACATTTAGGTCTGTTTGGTACAAAGCATTAAAAATGAGAAGTATAAATTGGAATTGAGATTGAAAAAATCTACTAAAAGAGTATTTGGCATGAGAAATTGTTTGTTACATGAAATTGGATAAACCCATGTATGTGGGATTGGGAAATACTATAAAGGGGATGGTATTCCCCAATCTCACCTCCATGAGTTTATCTAATTTCATGTAACAAGTAACTACTCATGCTAAATACTTTTTAATAATTTTTCTCAATTACAATCAGAATCCCTATCCCTTATTTTTAATACTTTTCTTGATTCTCAGACTTGTTCCTTTGTGAGAGATGAAACAGCCTCAGCATTAACTCTTCCTGTGAAAGTGGGTATCCGAAGACGTACGGGAAAGAAAAGAAAGGGGGAGGGGGGAAAAAAGAAAATGGAAGAAAGTCAAGTAATTAATGGTGAGACAGAAAGACAAAGATACGATAAATGTTCTCATCACTTTCTTCACTAAGAAATGGGACTCAGCCTGCCTCTTTGCTCTGCTGCATTGTATCCATCACACTTCAACCAACATACACACACATGGAAGAATACTCTCTCAAATAAGTGAAAATTTTGATGACCAATATATATATATATATATAAATATTTTATATTCTGTTAATTGTGTCCATCGTGATGCCAATAACGACTGGATATGAGCATTGTAGATTATATAGTGTTACGAGTGTCTAAGCCGATCAACTGTGTCCATAGTTCATAAGCAGTACAACTTCTTATAATTTGTTTTCCTGATAGCATTATATATAATTCACAGTCATATTTACAATTTACAAATCACAATTCTATATATATATATTAACACACATATATATTTGCATGAATTACATACAGGTAATTAAGCTTAATGGAGATTATACAATTTCTAGTGTAAAATTGAAGAACCGATATATCATATCAAGAACTCAATTCGCTGCTGCTATCATCATCACTAATCTCTTCACAAGGCTTGTGGTCAAAAGAAACCTTGGAATTAAGAGTGGCAAAACGAACAGAGAAAGATGAATAAGCATTGTCTGAATCGGAGGAATCACAACCATCTTCGAAGTTCTTAGAGTAAGAATCAATGTCGTACTGTAACGACCTCTTGTCCTTCTTCATCTTCCTCCACAACCTTCTCAAGCTCGCCATCTTCGATATCCTCACACAACTCAACTTCTTCTCTTCTTCTTAATTCGCCAATTGCTTCTTCTGTTTCTAATTCTGATTCCCACCAGAAATTTGCAGAAATGGATGACAGAGATAGACAGATAGATAACACACCGAGAGAGAGAGGGAGAGGGAGAGAGCTCAGGCTGGTGGACCAAGTCTGAGGTTTAAGCGCACTAGCGAGGTTATTTATACCACAAATTACTTAGTATAGAGTAAAACACTGATGCACGCATGACGTGTTAGAAAGTAGTATATAATTGAATGGACAGACAAATCTACATATGTGTCCCTACACTTTATTACTGCAAAATTCATCTTTATGATTAGTTTTGATAGGATGAGAATAAACTGTGTGACGTGGTTTTATGGAAATGACGAATAAAAAAGAAACCGATCGAAGCAGATTTTGTGGCGTGGAATGCTATAAAGTTTCTCACTTTGTCAGCAACTACACACACACATATGTGTGGGGTGTGACTGTACTTTACAACTTTATGAACTCACATGCACATGGGTGGGACAAAGTATGCTGGCTAATCATCGAGAGATGAGCCATGAGAAGAAATTAAGGTTGTTTACATACAAAGAATTTGTTGTTGCCAAAAAGAGGTGGCTGTTTATAATAGAACATTCTTTGAGATCCTTTGAACCAAATGTGGTCACAATCTTACAAGAGATTTCTTGGTTTATGGGTCCTCAGGAGGTCATAATCAAATAACTTAAACAAGGAATCTAAGGCAATTAAATATTTGGGATTGATCAATTTGATAATTTGAATATTTTTATATTTAATTATTGCCTATAATTGAACATAGATTGGTCATTGTAACCTTGTAAACACTCACTGAGTCATGAGCCCTCTTGTATTAGTGGTCTTCCTAAAAGGCAAGTCATGAATTTTTAATTAACAAAAAACAAAGAAAAAATAAAAGTACACAAAATAAATCACATACTTCTTTATCTCACTTTCTCGTCAGATATATATAATACTCTTCCGATCCTTAATAAAGGACCTAATTGTTAAGTTAATTTTAGTCCTAAATATAAGACATATTTCTCATATTTACCATTTTTTCCTAAATTACCACTATAAATACTCTCTCAACCTTAATCAAGTAAAAGAGAGAGGGAAGATATTAAGAAAAATGATTATGAGTATTTTACGAAAAACATGTCATATTTCTTATAATTAACTAACTTACCTAAATTCTTTAATCTAATCAAATCAGTTAAATAAATCTTATACTAAGAACCGGAAGAGTATTACATTAGTGTACATATTGAAGATTCTATCAATTATTAGGACTCAACTACTACTTGAAGTGTGATCTCTATGACAAATTTCGCAGCTGCTTAGTTTTTTTATCCTATAGTTCTGCTTCTTTGATTCTTTTCAACCCTTTTTCATTTATCTAAAAGTGAGATGCTTTTGGAATCTTGGCCTTTCATATTGCGCAGAAAAAAATGTAGGTATTAAAATTAGAAGAGAGAAAAGAGGAAAGAAATAAAGTGAAAGAAAGAAGAGTTGGGAGAGATATAATAAATGTTTTAACCAATTGTATCGTTAAATATATTCACTATCTTCATTATATTATCACTATTGAATATTGCTCATTCCAATAAATGTCACAGATAAGGGAGGGATTTACCTTGGTCGTAAAACTTTAATGAATTCACTTTCTCTTAAATTTATAAATTTTTTCTCAAAATTTTTTTATTGATTACACATGTTAAAGAGGCTTTTCATCAAAAGAATAGTTTCCAATACAAATTATTAAAAACAGGTATTTTAAGAAAATTATTACGCATTTTCTTATGAATAACTAATTTTAGTATATCCCGGGAGAAATAAATTTTGATGAGTTAAGCAAAGATTCAAAGGCAGTTGTATGATCATTAAGGAAAACTGATTTACGAAATTATGATCCCAAGAGGAAAAGAATTAGAATCCATAGAAAAATACTAAATTATTCATATATAAGTCATGAATGACATGGACAATTTTGGACTTCATAAATGTAAAGCATATATAATTAAGTCGATATATAACCTGGTTCATTTTGATACATAACATAAACTAACACATGCGTTGGCCAAAAAAAAAAACACTAATACATGCACTCTAATTAATCTTTTCAAATGATAAATAATATATATGTGCATAATTTACATTACTAAATATTGTGAGCCGTACAATTACATTGCCAAATGATCATGGATGCATAAATATCCCTTATATACAGACATCGGAGCCATCTTGTTGAAGCTTCCAGCTTCAGCCCTATTCGCAGCCCACAGGCTCTCCGCCCCTTCAACTCACCTCTGAAAGCTCATATAGAAATTTAGAATAGAGTAAGTACAACAGCAACACATTTTATATGGACAGGACATTACACTTTTGTTCTTAATATACTTTTGTTTTTAATATAAGACTTATTTAATTAATTTAATTAAATTAAAAAAGTTAAATAAATTAGTTAAATATAAAAATGATGACATGTTTTTTTTCTAAAACATTATAATTGTGTTCCTTAATATCTTCCTTCCATCTCCTTCTTAATTATGGTTAAGAAAGTAACAATAGGAATAATTTAAGAAAAATTAATAAATATAAGAAATAGGTCTTATATTTAGGACCAAAATCAACTCAACAATTAGATCTTATATTAAGAACCGGAAAAGTATGAAATAAGTATGTAAAAGGGGTTTTATCAGCTGAAAAGTAAAAGAACTTTAATTTCTTACAATGATTATGAAAAATAACACAATACTAAGATAGATATCGTGTTTTTTTTCCCACATCACTTATAAAAATATACAAATATATTGCAAACTATTCATACACTACAGCTAGTATAGCTAACTTGTTCTTTATATACAATGTAGAGAAAAAAAAAAAAGAAAAAGAATTGTCTAGTTCGTTGTTCCTGAGGTCTTAGCCAAAAGGCCAAAATGGGTAATTCCATCATCAAATTAAAAGGTTTTGATAATGCTTACAATTATGTTACACCTAATAATTTGGCTTAACTACTTTAAAGGATATTGCTAATTATATAACTTTAAACTTTGATTCAAACTCCTCTTAATAAGCCAAATATTAATTATACACACACGACACAGTGATTACTGATTACCTTTCGGTGACACCTTTGGCGTTCAATTGCCTGATTTGCTGTGTTTATCAAAACCTCACACAATAGTTTGGCCTAATTGTCACAAAAATGAGTCACTATTAGCATATTCATTTTTAAAAAAAGCAAAAACAGAAGGATCTGTCGGGGACCGAGAAGAAAATTAAGAAAAATACTACGCAGCTCCTTAATATAAAAGCCAAGAAATTAATTCATAAAAATTTAAAAAGAATTAATTAAATTAGTTAATTATAATAAAATATATGTTAATTTTTCTAAAATATTTTTTTTAGTTATTTATGTTGAAACTATCTTCTAATAGAAACATTTTAAACTTGTGCAAGCAACGCATATAATCTAGGAAAAATTTTATAAATATGAAAGACAAATAAATGATTTGAAGTCTTATATTTATAATTAAATTTAACCTCATCTAATTCCAATGTTAAAAGACGGATAGTGAAATATGTTGGCAAAAAAAAATATATATAGTAGTGAAATATAACCTTCATAATATAGTGGTGTTTATATATATATATATATATATATATATTTGAAAATTTCAAAACTAGATTTTAGCCTCTATGCCTTATAAATTATGCATGTGTATATATCCATGGTCTGTAAGATTGAATTACCTCCATAGGAAAACCAAAGAAAAGGAGGCCCAAGCGGCCCTCAACCTCCGTGGATGTGTCAAAAGGGACAGCGCCTTTAGCCAGGTCCTCCAGGAAGAACACCACGTCGGACAACACCCTTATTCCGGTGAACTCCAGCCTGGCGTCCACGTAGGACGACCCCTTCGCCCTCACGTGACCATGCTGCGACTTCACGTGACCCAGCTTCTTCCCCCTGTACCCCACCGCCACGTCCAGCGACTTGTAGGTCATCGAGTACACGCCGCCGTTGTGAACCCTTACTCTCACCAACATCGATATGTCCACCGTCAGCCGCGGCAATGTGTGCACCTTGATCCGGTTCAGCTTTAGCCGTTCGATCTTCAGGACCGGACCGGACGGCCAGCAAATGAACACGAGCCCCAGGAGTAGGACGACTCCGACGGCCCAGGCAATGACGCGTTGACGGCGGGCCGCGGAGGAGGTGTAGAAGGCTAAAACGACGTCGTTTTGGTATTTCTGTTGAAAAGGACGAAGGAGGACGTAGCGGATTGCCTTTGAAGCTCCCATGGCTGAAAGAACCTAAAAAGCTTGTGATTCCAGAGATATGGATATTGCAAGGAAAGAGGACTCGGGAGGATAAAAGGGGAATTTAAGGAAGAAAGAAAGTTTTGATTTTTAAGAATTTTAAGCTCATGGATGAATTATATGGGGAGGAGTTACTTTGGATGCTGTTTCGTGTGTTTTGTCTTTGTGTGGGAAATTGGGGTGGGGGTTTCCTCCTTTGTGATTCTCTCAATCTCTCTGTTCTATGGTGTGTTTGTATTCTTACTGTCACTGTTTCTTTTGCTTAAAGTGTACGTTGGAATGGATCTGCTGGGTTCACAAAACTTCATCTAACAAAGTGAAAATCGCCTTGAGCTTGAAATAATAAAGATTCCGTTTCAAATAATCAAGCATAAAATAAAAAAAGGATCTGAGTTAATATAATCTGTGGTTTAGTTCCTCTCAATTTTGTAAAATAGTACAGGGTTTTATTATGGGGAACCAAAACTTATGTTTAAAACTTAAAAAACTAGAATTAAAATGAAGCTAAACTTGAAAGACCAAAATTTGTATTAACTCAATAATTAATATCATTGTTTGTAAGCAACAAGCTAAACAAGTAATTACTTGGCTAATCATAGATCCTTGCAAAAAAAATAAAAAGTGCGGTCTAACATGATTTTGCGGGATGGTGCCACTGGAATTTGGAAGTTTGAAACACACCTTTTGGTCCTTTCATCTTTATTATCCTTTCTGCTTTCTGGTATATTGGACACTTCTGTGATGCACGTAACGGGTGGGGAAAAAGACTATTCAAAGGGTAAAATCTGAATTACGAATATCCCTTCAATTTGCTTAAGAGACAGAGATGACCTTGAGCAGGACCCATGTGGACCTCACCCTTAATTCTTATCTTTATCTCCCTTTTCTATTACTTTTCTTTTTTACAGTTATATTTACAGATATATCAGTCATTCTGATCCATATTCCTAAGCAGACTAATAGCTCTCCCGCCGTAAGGTCATCTGGGTTTTGCAACTGTCTAGACAGTTATATGACATCCGATATACTAAGGCTAAAATCGAGGATTATATTTGATATAAGGTTTAAGCTCTCGACCTATTTAAGAAGAACTTAATCATTGAACAGTTGCAAGGGTTTCAAGCTAGGTAAAGTTGTCATGTGGTAAGAATGGGTTGAAAGTGTTTCCTTGATTTGTTAATCAAATCAAAGATTAAGATCAATCAGAGAAGGGGAACAGCCGAGCTGGCTGCTTTGTGATCTTCTTGTTCTGAAAACTCCCATTAAATTACGAAGATACATTCAGTCCAAAAAAAAAATTTGGGAAATATAAATGTTTAAATAATTCTTATGTATAAGAGGGGTATTTTGGTCTAAAATAAATGTTTAAAAATCAAATTTAACGGTTAACTAATGGTTGAGTCGATGAAAATGAGATATCAAATATAAAAGACATGTTTACGCATACAAACATGTTAACATCATACTCGAATTCAGAATCTCATCCAAACGTGACAGATGGTACTGTCACTAAAACAACTTACTACTTACATTATTATTTTTTTGAAAAAAGTAGGGATCAAAATATTCATTAATGAACTTGTTAATAAGGAACTAAATGTGATAAACCCCATAAACAAACCTAAAGACAATTCATTCATATTCTCCACACCGTATTACTTGTTGTTATTATTATTATTTGGGTGACCACTAGTCAGAGATGGTTTCCTCCGCTATGCTTATATAAGGAGGCGGATATTTTTTGTCTTCTGCTATAACTCAAAGTAGGACATAATGGTAGTTAACAGGTCCCACAAGATCCAAAGCTGAGACATTGGCATGCATATAAGCTTTTAATGGGTAAGAGAACCCCAGGATGAGTATGGAAGCAATCCCACAGTTAAGATCCATGAATAAATTTGGAGTAACTAACGGTCAAAACTAAACAAAACTACCAGTCTTCTCTTTCCTTGTTCTGCATCACGTGCCCAAACGACAGTCTCGCTTTTGGTTTCTTTGATCTATAACACTCTCCTTCATCCTAGCGTCTTTCTTATGCTTCTGCAAAATCTCTGATCAACCTAGCGAAAAACATGTCCAGGCCTGGAAATAAGATCATTCAAGCCAAGCTGGTGGGTATGTCTTACCTTAAATTATTTCCCAGTTTTTTTTTTTTGTCTCGTGTATCATTCTCGTTCTTGGATCCCTATACCTGTTCATAATCCCTCGTTCCTGGCCCTGAAGCAATCATTATGGAGTAGAATCTGCATGAAAAGATTAGTATTACTGAATGAGTTAACAGAAAAGATTTGGTTAGTGCAGTAAACAGAGTAAATCTTTAGATACATCTTTTATAGCATCGCGAAGTCTGATTGCAATAAAAAATCATAGGAGAGGACAATCTTAGAATGTAAAATTTACAGTTGTCTGCTGTTTAGTCATTTCATAGAGCTCAGTCCCTCCATGATGATGCACTATTCTCTTTTCTGTTTCTTCTTGTAGGTGCTTCTTGGGGATATGGGGACTGGCAAGACCAGTTTAGTGTTAAGATTTGTAAAAGGCCAATTCTTCCATAACCAGGTTGGTTCTTCTAAGTTTTCTTCAAGTCCAAAGTTGCTTTCTTTACTAATGCTGCAAAACTAGTGCACCAATTTAAGGAATCTGAGAGTGATCTAATTACAGGAACCTACCATTGGAGCTGCATTTTTCACTCAAATATTGTCACTGTCTGAAGCTACTGTAAAGTTTGACATATGGGACACAGCAGGACAAGAAAGATATCACAGCTTGGCTCCTATGTATTACCGTGGAGCAGCAGCCGCCATTGTTGTGTATGATTTGTCGAGTGTTGTAAGTATATGGACTTATTAAGTTTGAAAGGATTAAGAAATCCAGTGATTGTTTGATTTACTAGTGTTTCTGATGGTGTCGAAGATCACTTCAAGTTGAAATCTTAAGCTGTATAGTAGGGGACCACATGATATTTTTGTTGTATAGGCATATCTCTAAAACATGGTCTCCTCAATTATACAATGCTTGCAGCTTAATTGCAATATTGTTTGAAATTTTTATAATGATTGATAAAGAACATGCGATGATTCCTCCAGCTCTGCCTCCTATGAACATTCTTTATGGTGAATAGAGGCAAAACTTGCTATAGTTGTTATCAGTACATTCACTCTGACTAAGCAAAAAGAAAAGGGAAACTGATGAATCCTGCTTGAGTAGTCACATGAATCTTAAATTCATTTTTAACTGTAATTAATAATTAGGTTGCTCTTTTCCCTCTCAGGATACATTTGTTCGAGCCAAAAAATGGGTTCGTGAATTGCAAAGACACGGTAATTCAACATTTTCTCTATTCACTTGTTGGCCATTAGCAGAAGCCTAGATTTCTTCATGAGCAGTGAGAATTTTGGGATAATTACCTAAATATTTACCTGTTGCTGAAATAAAATGTCCTATCCATGAAACAAGGTGCAGGTCCAATAAAAATAAGCGATCGCCTATATCTCATGAGTTACAAATTCATTTGTTCATTTTGACTTGTGATTTCTTGAAAATAATATACTCCTATTCTTGTTTCCTTCTTTGCCTGAATTTGGTGAATAATGCAGGTTCTTTATACAAACATTTAGAACATGTCCCTCTATAGCAAACTAAAACTCCTCTTTGTAGGAAGTCAAAAGTTGGTGATGGCTTTGGTGGCAAATAAATCTGACTTGGAACAAACAAGAGAGGTTGAATATGAGGTACCATTAAGAACTTCTTCTCACTTTGTTCCTCACTTACTCTTTATGAAATGCATGGTTTTCTCTGTTCCTTTCACTTACTACCCATTTGAAAACATATCACAATCAGTAGCTCTTTAATATGCAGTCTGTCCTGTAGCATAACGTCTCTTAACATTTGTAGACAGATAATTGCTGCCTGTTAGAGTAATACAAACATCTTGGTTTCAACTATTTGTTTCTCAATTAAATTCTCCTTTTAAGTGTTATTTTCTCTCTTTGGTTAAACATTATTTCAGGAAGGGGAGGAATTTGCTCAAGAGAATGGAATGTTCTACATGGAAACATCTGCTTTGACTGCAGTGAACATCAATGAACTTTTCTATGAAATAGGTACATGCTGAAAGTCTTTTAAACAATCTAATGTATTTGATTTGAGGGGTTGTTAATTTACTTTGCTTAAAGAGTTATTTTCTGAGCATACAGCAGTAATGTTAACCGTTAATTTTTTTTTTTTTTTGCCCCCTTTTAATGCTTAATGCAGCAAAGAGACTCGCAAGAGTCTTGCCACCAAAACCTACTGGAGTGAATCTTAACAATGTTCAAGATAGAAGAAGAAAACTTTTTTGTTGCTCAGCATGAGCGATATTCCTACGTAGATCAAGTGGCATAATCATCACGGTCCCCTCACTTTCATGTGAGATGCCTCATTTTCTAAATATCTTGAACTCCTCCGGAGGAGGTTTCTTTTTTTTTTTTCCCTTGTAATTTACTTCTGATTCGGACTCTTGTTCCTACAGTTTTCTTTCAAGCTATTATATGCACTTTCTGATTGTTCATATAGTTTTCTTTCAATACTAGTCCTATTGAAATCCTCAGCCCGCTCTCCTTTATTCAAATCTTGTTCAAGATCCATACAGACGGCCATTTGTGGCGTTATCTTCTTAACACTGGCAATTTCTTCCAACACTCTCAAGATAAATAAATGCACATACTTTACTGGTGGTGAAGCTGCCGAAAAATGTAATTACATTCTCTCAATTTGCATAGGCTATTCGACTGAGTTTATTTAACAATAGAATTTTCTTGCCTCATCAATCAGGAAAATACAAAGGAAGTATTATACAACACAACCCAAAAAAATATTATACTCTACTAAGGAAAATAAAATAAAATAAATACAAAATACACAAGCACATGGCTCATGATAAGATTTGGCCTGAGTTTAGGTTCTGCGATGTAGACCTCAAATCGCTGTACATTCGGGAACACTCAAGAGCAAAATCTGACATGGCCCTAAAGAGCTCTGGCAAGCGATTTTTGAGACTCCCTAGAGATTTTTGCCTCACCTGAATGCAGCACCTTGCATAGGCATCTTCCTCATCTTCCAACCTCTTCTTCACTTGTTCAACCAAGAATTGCTTCTCTACAACAATCTCGTCAATAGCATTGGCAGATTCTCGCCTGTCTGGATCAGGCTCATCCGGTATTTTCCTTTGAAGGTACTTGTGATACCAATCTTCATATTGCTTGGTTTTGCGAGCAAGCTCCTTTCGTGATTCTTCACACTTTCTTTTCAAAACCATCTCCTCTCGTTGAAGCTCAAAAATTGATTCTACCATGTCAGCAAAATTGGATAGAGCTGTTCTGGCAAGCTCGTCGGGAAGCTTCTCCAGATGGTCTTGCCAGGCATAAATGAGCCTTTGTATAGGGGGATTTCTAACTCTTGGAGGTGATGAAACCTTCTCCTTCAAATTGCTTTCAATAGGTATAAGATTTAGTTTTAACCAATTGTTTAGCGCCTTTATGTACCCCTTTTGATGGGTTACTAACTTCTCAAACTTTGAGCACCACCCTTTCGCAACAGCCAATAGCTGGTATGTTCGGTCATGATGGTGCTCACTTGTTTCACTAGGTGAATCGGAATCCAGAGTTTTCAATAACATCACGATTTTAGACTGCTTCTTATGGCGATCGTGCATGGTTGTCCACATACTGGCCATCCTGTAGTATCATCAAGAACCATCAATATTTGCAGGGAAGTCAGCGTGCACGTGTTTGTACAGATGAATAAACACTTTCTGGGGAACAGGTTACCATGGGATAGCTAAACAAAACAGCTTTCCAGCAAGAGAGATGGAACACTCATTTCTCCTAGAGATTCAGTTTTCCTCAAAGATCAATTACAAGGTTGCAATACAATATATGATGCGCAACATGTAGAATAATATACGAACATTTACAAAGAAAGAATTGATACCAGTTTGCTAAAAGCCAATATAAACCAATATTAGAATAAACTGGCATTTTAAAGATGTGAAAATAAAAGCAGAAGAAATCAATTTTGAATCTTTATTGTCAGAAAGAGAAAACCCATCTTTAGATAGTCAAAGCCGCTTTCCCCCAGTATTCATATATGTAGTAGGCCACAATCAACTATAAAAACTAATGTTAGATGAACTGTGTCTCTAAGGTGATAGACAGATATTTTGAATGCGGTATGTAATGCACCATCCACAAAGTTGGTAGGTAGCAAAAGCATAATATCACAACAGAAATATTTACTTGAGTTTTCAGCTTCTAAAATTAGCAGAAACTAAATTCAACCCGTTCATGTCTGGTGAGATATATTCTATATAAGGTCGGAAACTCAAAATAGTAGCCATATATATGTAACTAATCATTCCAATTTCTACAATATAACTTACCCATCAACAAGATTAACAAGCCTCGGGTATAACTGGTCATCACGTAAACTGTTAATTTCTGAGACCGTCGAATCCAAGGACTGCATATCTACAATATATCTTGTATGCAAATGGCTGACAGACGCTTTTGCTTTCTCCAATGCTTCAGTGTTGATTCCCCTTTTCTTTAGCTTGTTAAGTGAGGCAACCTTTCTTTGGTAATCAAATTTCATAAGTTCACCTGCCTATCAAACAATATTCAGCTGCAACATTCTGAATAGAACAAGAAATATGTATGACAGCATTGTAAACCCAGAATTAACTGAAATTTGGACCGGTCATGATAGGAACAAGACAAGAAGACATTAGTAGAAGAAAATGTGTATAGCAATGAAATGCATTTACAGGTTTATGACAGAATAGTAAAAAGCAATAATATCATCTCGCTACATCAAGAGTTGTGAATCAACAATTTGCAGAGTGAGAGCTTATACTTGATGATGCCATGTCAATGTTAGGTGACCGAGTATGTGGAAAATTGTTCAAATTCAAAATGAAAATATAGCAGGTAAGACTTCTATCAATTTACCAATTGACATTTGACAATAATACACATTGTTAAACAAGGCAACTTACCTTAACTTCATCGTATAGTTTCTTTTCCCATGCCAGCAATTTGTCCAAGATAGTGGCATGAGTTTCATTCTCATCATAGTCAAAATCATCCGGCCCGTCATCAAGAATATTGGGCGGCATTCCTTTAAAGGACCGATTCCATGTAATAACTTTCATCACCCTTGCAGAGTGATCAATATGTCCTGCACAGATTCAAGAAAAGAGAAAAAGGGTCAAACCAGAACGCTTGAATTTTCAACTAAGATTTCTCTGCATATTTATACTTTGATCAGAAAAAGCATGATTGCAAAGACCGAATAACTTCATCTTTTGTTCATTTGAAGCCCAGAAACACTTAACAAATAACTGTCAATGCAGAACCAAGGCTACCATGAGAATTACCTCTATTATCAGCAAAATTGGAGTGATAATGCAGCCGCGTTGCCTCAAGCATCTTCGAAACCTCATGAGCACTTTCCGAAGCCTTTAGAAAATCGTCATCAAGTTCGGTAAATATCTGCACCACATTGAAAGGCGATTTTACAATCCTCTTCCCCTCCATTGAAGCCTGCCCTTGCTTCCCCTTCTTCAAGCCTTTCCCCACCGGTGCCGCCAAAGCTACGGGCGGCTCAGGTGGCTCCACCACTTTCTCTGGCTTACGTTCAGGTTCTGCTTCAGGCTCGGGCCCCTCATCCTTCTCATTGCCCATACTCTGTTCAACATCTTCACCCAGCCTATTAGGCTTTTCATCAAATGTCGTCTTCTCATTATCCTCCTTACTTAAACCATCTTCATCTTCCCCTCTCAAGCTCGTCCCAGGCACATTTTCCATTGGAGGAAAGAAGAAATATTCCCAGGGGGAATTCTGTGGAGGCTGATCGATCATCGTATGGTGATGAGTCTCCACTTGAGGCTCTGGTTTTGAAGATGGAGGCGGCATAGGAGGCCGATCTGCCTCTTCCATCATCTCCTTAGTTCCACTTCTACCATGGCCACTACCACTTCTTCTTCTGCTACTTCCTCTTCTTTTCAAACCACCATTCAAAGATCCTTCCTTCTCCATCTCGTTCGCCTCCTCCTCCTCCTCGATGATGGTCCCCACCGGGCTCACCTCCGGTTTGGTCATCTTGATCTCAGGCATAGTTGCAGCGCGCTGAAGAGGAGAGGGGGGGAAATTGGGTAGAGGAGGAGGCGGCAGAGGAATCTCGAACGGCGGTATCGGTGCCGTAATCGGAGCATTACTGGGGAGATCGGCTGAACCAGAAGCAGATTGAGGATTTTGAACCTCACCGTGGATGAAGTCACTCAAAGCTGCACCAGTGTTCTTAAGGTAGGTGGCGTAGGAGGTGTGCGCAGCCGCGAAGGCGTTACGAGCTGAGACAGCCTCTTTCATGAAGTGCTTGCGGTCTTTGCAACGAGCCACTGCCTCTTCGTTCTCGATCTTCGACTGCGTGCAACCCATCTCACTGTGCTGAATCTCAAGTTTTGCTCACTAATCATGAAGCCTCTGAGAGGGATTATGGAATTTTGGAGAAGAAAGGGAGAAAAAGGCAGCAACTTGCAAACTGTAAAGTCAGAGGCGGAGAAGAAAACACAGTGAGTAGCAACCCCACGGCGCCGTTTTGCTGTGTGTAAATGTAAATAGAGACAGACAAAAGACAGCGGGACAATTGACAGAGACTCACAGAGTCAGAGACAGACTATGCAGAAAATAATGCATCATAGAATTAGTATATAATAACGTATATTAATTTTTTATTACGTTAATAAATAATATAAGACACAAGCGTAAAGCTGTTAGGTGACTGACAGAGGAAGAAAAATGAGAATGTAGGTGTACTTTTGCTGTCTTCAGTTGAGCCTCTTTGAACTGACCAATCCCAATTTAGAATATTCCAATCTATCATTACGTGATAAGCAACGAAATTGTTAGCCATAAAAAGAATGAGTACTACTTCTGTCCCTTTTCTGGACGCTGCATCATGTGTGAGTAAAGTTATAAAAGAAATTATCATTAACATTTCTCTGCATATAGTAATATCTGCTGAGCCTGATCGTCTTGGTTATACCAAAAACTATAAATTTTCAGATGGATGTCAATGCTTACATAAGAAAAATACACAGACAGTGAAAAAGGAAAAGAGAAAAAGAATGAAAAAAATTCTCATGTCTGTTAAGTAAGCTGTGTTCTGTCTCTCATCTCCCTCTGATAGATGCAAGACGAGCTGTTAAGTCATCATAATCTGGTAACTTAGGATGCACATGCTTTGCTCCTTCAGTTTGCATTTCTGGTTCCACAGAAGTCGAGAGTTGAGCAGGAAGGGATACTCCTCTTGTTAGCTGTCCATCTGAATCTGATTTTTTGTGCCTAACTGTGTTCTGCTTCTGCCCCTTCGATTCAGAAGCGGATTTCTTCATACTGTAATGCATCAAAAGCCCGTCCATTATCCTATCTTCTTCATCCCTTGAATCAATATCAGAAACAGTTTTTTGATAAGCAGGTGGTGTTTTGGGACCTCTGGTTCTGACTGACTTAGGTTTTGGCTTTTCTTGAGCAACTTGCTCTTTAACATCAAGTTTTGGTATGACGCAAGGAGGAGGAACAATCTTATGTTGAGATGGTTTCTTGGAATAATCTTGCTCATCCTCCGTAAAACTTCCTAGTGAGCTTGAGCGAGTTTTTGGGCAATCCTGGGACGATGTGTCTGTACTTGTTTCGTCATCACTACTGTTCTGGAGCCTCAATGTTTCTTCATTACTGATATACTTCAAGTTCAGTGGCGTCTGCCTTGGCCTGCCCTGCAACAAGCAGGATTCCTTGCATTAAGTGATTGGCTGTAGAAAAGAAGGCTCCATTTTATAGAAACCATGTGAGGAGCATGTGCTCTCTTAGCTGTCTGATATAGTACATGTAACACCTTGCCGCCTAATATTAACTCAACTCAGTTGGTAAGGGTAGGGTGGGATATAAACAAATGTCAAGGGTTTAAATCCTTCTAATGTATCTAAAAAATATGACATCTTCAATGTATATTACTGCACAGTAATTCCTCATTTCATGATTTTGTTGTAAACATATTGGTGAAATCAAACAAGTTAATGTAAAGTAAGACCTACTTGAAGTGATGAATAGGACATATTGAGTTTCTCCTCCATAGGCTTGCTATTCCACTTTATAGAGAATTCTTGTGCGATATCATTTAATATCTGAATCTTCATTTCTTTGGTAGGTTGTGGCCTCGACTTCTCCACAAACTAAGAAAGAACAATTATTAAAACTAAAATATACCCAAGAGAACAACATTTTCTTGAATAAAGGTGGAGTCATTGTCTCACCTCTTTACTTAGAAAAGGTTCAAGGGAATCCCCAAATTTCTCCTCGAACAGAGTTCTGAGATCCCGCAATTCTGGCAGTTCAGCAAATCTCGCTGCAGCATATATCAACGACGGTATAGCCTCCTTGCATTCGTCAGGGCAATTACTGCTTCAGAAAATTAATAACAATGTTACTTCTGGAAACACCTTACATGCCAAAGAAATATGACAGTCCATGAAATATATAATTCAGGAAAAGGGGCAGAAATTAGGGGGAAGAGGGGCCCAAAAAAAAAAAGAAAAGAAAACTTCTCATTTATCAATCTAGTTTCATACACTAACTACACCATTAAGTGGGTTATTTTCAATTGAAGTGGCAAGCTTTGGAGCTTTTGCATGCTGACAGATTCCTTATGCAAACTAACACTGATTAGATGTGTTCAAGTGGAAAGAATTTCATGTTTAAAACGAGGCAAGCTTATTAACTATCAAACAATGCTAAGATGGTGTTTAGTATACGGCTATTTCAATTAGTTATATCCTCCTTGCACGGTGTCATTATATAGAACAGCATACCTCTCCTTAGAAAGGACTTGAAGATGATCTGATACGCACCCAACAAACTTCACAACGAGTTCGTAACAAGCTGACATGTTTTCCTCGATCAAGAACCCTTCAGCCTGCATAATGCACAAAAGGTTAATAATTATATTCCCATATATATCCTCCGCATGCACACGTATTGTTGCTTACATTTGACAATCTGCGTATGCATACATTATTATGAATCAATGGACAATTACAATCAATCAAATATTCAGAAAGTCTCAGTCCTATTTGTCCTCTGTTTTTGCTTTGGATCTCTTCATCTAACCCCACCAACCCCTTATGGACGAGAGATCAACTGAGAATTACAATTCTGGAACATGAAAATCACATAATGATCATGAGAATGATAAAGGAGAGCGTGATCAACGCAATTACATTACACCTAACTCCTTTTACCCCTTCCTGATAAACTCATCATTGTCTATGGTATAGAGGGCCACACGTGGTCCCACATGTAAATCAATTAGATTAGATGTCAAAGAGATGTATAATCCCAGTGAAACAGATCTGAAGCTAAGAAATGACATGGTCGCCTAACAGGTCATCTTCATTATCAGAAGATCGAATTTTGTACAGTATGGCCTGGAAAAATAATTGTTTATCAAAGAATTGATACTTCAAAAGGAAAGGTTGCATTTTTCATAGGAGTTCGATATTCGCTCAAGATGCCAACCTACAAAATGTGAAAATGCGAGAATCGTGGTGTATCGCATATCTGTACAAATATCTATGAATAAGATAATTAAAGCAAGATTCTCAAACAATTAATCATCTAGTTGAAAATTGTTAAGGAAATTACTCGTCCATATGCACTGTCGTCAAGGCCATTCTTGAGAAGATCGGCAATATCATTCTTCAGAAACTTCAGCACTGCTTTCCTCTTCTTCCGTATCGTCTCTAGTCTCGACTTTGTGCAGTCCAGGTGGGTTTTGCTGTTTCAAAAGCGAAATCAAAACCAAAAAATGGGTTTAAGAAAAACAAACAGAAAATCATCATCATTGATCAAATGGAAGAAACTCGACATCATCTCTGGGTCAGTGCTGTACCATTTTCTATAGAATTTCGGCTTCAAAAATTTGTCAAGCATGTTCGTATCTAACAATCTAAAGACACCCAAATAAGCAGATAAGGAAAGGCACAAGAATGAGAAAGCAATACGGCTTTAATTATTTCTTCAAGTCGCGCCGAGACAACTTAACAGAAAAAAGCCCAAGAAAACCAGAAGAAACAGAGAGGCTGGGAAGTATTCAAGAATGGTTAATGAGTAAACTAATCTTAAGATAGAGACAAGGAAACCCAAAGAACGAAATAATCAAGAAGGAAACAGAGGAGAATATGCAATGGCAGGAAAATGGAGGTTCAGTAGATAGAGAGAAGAGGAAGAAGAAGCTTGAGAGAGAGAGAGAAATGGCACGCGAGAGACCCTGCAAGGTCTCTCCCGTACCGCAATGAACCTCAGATTTGCGCGCGTACTACATGATCTCTCTTTCTTAACCGAAGAAGCAATTTAAATTACCGAAACACCCTTAGGGTGTGTTTGGTATGAGGGATTTGGGAGGGAGGGGAGGGAAGGGGAGGGATTTTAATCATTTTCCCTTATTTGGTAACACACAAATTTTAGGAGGGGAGAGAAAATTTTTTAAAATTTCCCCTCCCCTCCCCTCCCTAACCTCCCCTCCAAAATTGGGAGGATTTGGAGGGAAAGGGCAATATTTTGTCATATTATGACCATTATGCCCATATTTTGTCATGTTGTAACCATTATGTCTATATTTTGTCATGTTGTGACCATTATGCCCACACCTTAAATAAAATAAGAGCAAAATTATCCATATTAAAATGTTTTTCCCTCCCCTCCCCTTTTTTTATAAATCCAAACAAGATAATATTAAAATCCTTCCACTCCCCTCCCCTCCCCTTCCTTCCATTAAAATCCCTCCCCTCCCCTTCCTCTCATTGAGCCAAACATACCCTTACCGTTATCCACAAGAACCGACGGGTTATGGCCGAAGAAGAAAGTGGCGGATCAGACAGCTTGCATGCTTTGACAGTTGGAAGTTGAAAAATAACAGCAAGGAAAATAGAAATTGACAGCCGATAAATATTTAATTTAGTAGTAAAGTTTGCTAAATTTAATAGTAATCTTAATCTTAACGGAGCATTATTGGCATTTGACAAGATAGAAAAGTGAAATTATACTAATTAATTTTTCCACTTAAATCATTCTATTTACTAATTCCTTTGTATATGTAACTATCAGATACTCGTATTTAATATTACCAAATTTAGTTTGAATATTACTAACTCTAATTCTTAATATAAGAACTGGTTGATCGATTTAAATGGATTATGAGAATTAATTAAGTTAGTTATATGTAACAGATAGGTATTGCTTTCTTTAAAATACTCTTACTAATCATGTTATTAGTTATAATTACCATTTAATGAAATATTTAATATGTAAAAGACTACCTTAAAAAAATAAATAAATATGAGTGGCAAAGTAGACTTGGGTCTTATATTTAGAATTAAATTAAATATCCAATTAACTCTTATATTAAGAATAGAAATAGTATATTATTGTATCGATTAATATCACTACACAAAACATTGGCGCTTTAATTCTTGGAACAAGATCATTGTGCTGTTTGTGATTTTAGTTCTCCTAGAAAAGTTTAAAATTTTAGTTTATTTCTTTTTTATTTAAAGAAATTGTATGGGAATAATAACAATAATTAGAAATAAACCATACAAAAATATAGTTTGGCACACATTTCATAGTTATTGGTAATAATCAAAATCCGTAAACATTAACTGAAAATGCGGTTGATCTATATAACCATTATTTGGGCACTTGAATTGACTATTTTTTTAATATAATTTCATTATATTTACGGAAAAAAAATTTCTATTATATTATAATCTTTGACGACTGGACGAGTAAAAATTTACAAGAATTAAGACTTTGGGAGATGAAGGCATGTTTGAATTGCTGGCCAGAGCTGAAGGGCCTGCGTGCATGGGACCATCATCACCTACTAGACATTTTGACAATTGGATTATCCTTAGAAAAAAGATGAATAATAATAGTACAAACAATTATTATCGAAAATTGAAGCTAACTAGTCAACTACTATTTGAGGTTCAACATACTTCGTATCTCATAATAAGTAAAATCTTTATTTTTTTTTCAAGAGATATAATATTTAAAATAAATTTATTTGTAAATGTGTATATATTAACGAATTTATTCTATTTTTCTGTTTTTCTCTATGGCTCACCAAGAAGGCAAGAAGCTCATATATTTGCTTATTGCTTTTTTAGTGTAACCCACGGCCTCCCAGTACACTTTGGACTTGAAACTATAATCCTCACCGAAATGAGAGCATCTAATATTAAAGCCTTTCCAATAAGTGTATTCCTAACAATTTAGAGTGTGTTTAAATTAGCAGTGGGAGAAATAACTTTTTTTCAATATGACATTTCGGATAAAAGTCAGATAGAATAATGTGATTTATATTTGGATTGGATTTTGTAAAAAAATTAGTTTGAGAAATTAAAATTTGATTGAATGACTAATGAAAAAGTTAGTTTATATGTAAAATGAACAAAAAGGATATGAATCTTATTAAGTAATATATATATATATATATATATTATCGCCACTGAAAGCTACATCTACAGCAGCGACAATTGTGTCGCCGCTGAAAGTTATAGTTTCAGCGGCGACTTTTTTTGTCGCCGCTGAAAGTAGTCGCTGAAAATCCAATTTTTTGTGATAATTTGTTTTCTATCACTAATTTGCGACGAAAAATTCTGTCCCTAATCCGTCGCTAATCCGTTTTTTTTAAAACTTAAAAAATGCCACGTGGCACTTCTACCAATTGACACGTCATCACTGGGGACTACCTCCACATGTTGTTGTCACCTCACATCTGCCTGCCACGTGTGCTGCCATGTGTCGCCACCACATAATTCCTTCATCAAAGTGATTTCTCTATGGCTTGAACCTAGGACCTCCTCTGTGCGCGTGTGCGGCTTTACCAGTTGAGCTGCAATGAACCTATTAACTTATTATGTAAAATTAAACATATATATATATATATATATAATATTATTCTACACAAACAATTATATATACATATATATTATTAAAAACTAAAAATATATTATACGATAATTTTAATCATAACTATTTTAATGAAAAAATAATTTTTAAATATTTGTTTTACTATTTGTTTTATAATTTTTATTTTTTTAAAAAATATTTTTAATATAATTTTAATTTCTAATGACACTAATTTTGAATTTTAAATCATAAATAATTTTTTTATAAATATTTTTTAAATTTATTTTTTAATTAACATTGATAAGATATACAATTTAATTATATATGTATTATATTACATTATATTATATCATCTATATGTGTTTTATATATTTGAAGAATATCATTTACAATTAGTCAAAAAATAACTACTATAATAAAATCTAATAAATTATTCTATATAAAAGATTAAATGATTTGAATAGATTATGATAAACAGTATTCTCCTACTTGTATATATATCCTAGGTAATTTATTTTCTTCAAATTCTTTGCATATACCATTTGTTTTTATATTGAAGAACAAAATCAATCTATATCATTGGTATTAATTATATCATGATTAAATTTTATTGTTTAATGATTGAAATTCAAAATTCACTTCAATATTAGTTTGCATTCATATAAATTCATTTTTTTGGTTTTGAATTTCTATCATATATTATATATTTCAATATATTTTACATATGGTAAAATTATTTCTTTCTTATATCAGTTTGTATAAGAAAGTTATTAATATTCTTATTATATTTTTTAATTATTATTAATAATCAAGAGGAATTTATTTGAACAAAATATAAACAAGTTTTCTAAGACATTGTCTTTCTATTTTCAGTGTATACATAATGATGACATGAATGATGAAGATATCTTCATTAACACCAACTCCACAAATATATCAATTTATTTTATAATTAAAATTTTTTTAAATCATTATATTCTTAATTGTTATTATATAAATTTTTGTAAGATTATAATTTAAAATAACAAAATTTAAAATTAGTGACGGAATTGTGACGGAATAGAATTAGCGACGGAATTAGTGACGGATATTTCCGACGGAAAAAATTCCGTCGCTAAATATTTATTGACAGATTTTCCGACGGATTAGCGACGGACAAAAATTCCGTCACTAATCCGTTGCTAATATTAGTGACTAATCCGTCAAAAAAATTAGCGACGGAATTTCCGTCGTAATTCCGTCAGAAATTAGCAACGGAATTTGTTTCCTTCAGAAATTAACAACGGAATTTTTTTCCATCACAAATTCCATCGTTAATCAGCTATTTTTTTGTAGTGGATGCTAGAGAATGTAGATCAACTAGCAACAGAGGGCAAGAGGTTTAGCGAAAATTTTAAAATTTCTTGCACAATACCACCTGAGCCAATTGAGGTGCCTCAGGATGAAGTAGTAGGATTAGATTTGATGTTTAATAAGGTATGGAAGAGAATTGAAGAAGATAATGTTGGCATCATTGGTTTACATGGGATGAGTGGGGTAGGGAAGACTACCTTGTTAAAGAGAATTTAATTCAGATAGTATTATGGATAATAATAGAAAATTGGTTGGGATTGGAGATGGCATTTGGGATCGCTGTAGTAATCAAGATGGAAAAGTAGCACAGATATATAGAGTCCTTAAACAAAAAAAATTTGCCTTATTATTGGATGACATATGGCATGAATTGGACTTGAAATTGGTGGGAGTGCCACATCCAAGGGAAACTAATTTTCAATCCAAAGTGATATTCACAACTCAGATTAAAAAATGTTTGTGCAAAAATGCAAGCTGAAAGAACATTCAAGGTAGAAACTTTGACAAAGGAAGAAGCGACAAAGTTATTTTGCATGAAAGTTGGCTAGGACACCTTGATATCAGACCGTAGTATTCCAGACTTGCAAAGTAGATGGCTAAAGAATGTAAAAGGTTACCACTAGCACTGATTGTGGTAGGAAGTGCCATGGCTAGAGTAAAGAGGGTGGAGGCTTGGGAATATTCAATGAAAAACTTAACAAGTTCTTCACTAACTGCACCATAATAGAGAAGAAAGTTTTCTCCGTCCTTAAATTTACCTACAACCGATTGGATAAAGTACAAAAACATTGTTTCTTGTATTGTGTATTGTACCCAAAGGATTGTGAGATTCGAGATCTCGATCTCATAGATATGTAGATGTTGGAGAAATTTTTTCGTAAAGATTTGACAAAGAGCATACAAGATATGCATGGTCAT